GACCAAAGCTTGAAAACTATACCAAAAGATAGAACTTGATGAGCTCTATCCAATGCTTGTCTTTCTAGGCTTTCAAAATACTTTATTGCCCCCCAAAACCCTAATATATCTCGAAAACCAGGTTTTTCCGATAAATCTTGCCCGATTTTCGATTCCACGTGGGACCAAACGCTGAAAATCACATGGATCGATAGAACTCGTCGAGCTCTATCGAACGGACACCCTTTTGACTCAATTCCACCTTTGGATCCCCTCCTAAAGGGCAAATCCAAGTCAGAACCTGGGTTTCTCAGGTAATTCGCACCTGGATTCGCCCACAGTTGGGACCAAAGCCTATACTCTACGGAACAAGGTAGAGCTCGTCGAGCTCTATCGAATGGACACCCTTTTGACTCAATTCCACCTTTGGATCCCCTCCTAAATGGCAAATCCAAGTCAGAACCTGGGTTTCCAAGATATTTCGCACCTGGATTCGCCCACAGTTGGGACCAAACCCTATACTCTGCGGACCAAGGTAGAACTCGTCAAGCTCTATCGAACGGACACCCTTTTCACCCAATTCCGCCTTTGGATCCCCTCCTAAATGGCAAATCCAAGTCAGAATCTGGGTTTCTCAGGTATTTCGCACCTGGATTCGCCCACAGTTGGGACCAAAACCGATACTCTACGGACCAAGATAGATCTCGTCGAGCTCTATCGAACGGACACCCTTTTGACTCAATTCCACCTTTGGATCCCCTCCTAAAGGGCAAATCCAAGTCAGAATCTGGGTTTCTCAGATATTTTGCACCTGGATTCGCTCACAGTTGGGACCAACGCCTATACTCTACGGACCAAGATAGAACTCGTCGAGCTCTATCGAATGGACACTCTTTTGACTCAATTCCACCTTTGGATCCCCTCCTAAAAGGCAAATCCAGGTCGCAATCTGGGTTTCTCAGGTATTTCGCACCTGGATTCGCCCACAGTTGGGACCAAAGCCTATACTCGACGGACCAAGATAGAACTCGTCGAGCTCTATCGAATGGAGACCCTTTTCACCCAATTCCGCCTTTGGATCCCCTCCTAAAGGGCAAATCCAAGTCAGAGTCTGGGTTTCCAAGGTATTTCGCACCTGGATTCGCCCACAGTTGGGACCAAAGCCTATACTCTACGGACCAAGATAGATCTCGTCGAGCTCTATCGAATGGACACCCTTTTGACCAAATTCCGCCTTTGGATCCCCTCCTAAAGGGCAAATCCAAGTCATGATGATACAATGCAATATGGATAAAAACAAAAAATACAAATAAATGTTTTCTTCCTGCAGTCGAACTGTGAAACTGGCGGCTTTTACCCTCTCTAAAGTTTGAGAACCCTATTACAGTTTTTTTCTTGTGTTGTACGGCACTTTGATTATTAACGGTCAGCACGGAAAGGATAATAGCGACATCTTTTCATAAATGTTACAAAATTTCCATTTTGTGCACTTTAATGTAGAGGAAAAGGAAAAGAATTCACTCGTGAGTACCAGCCTATTCGAACGAGAAAGAACAATAAGAAATTTTTTTTGTTTTCGTCAACCGTGTTCCCCATTCGTCAATTTAAGCATCGATCGAGAAGAAAGGAAAAAAGTTCATTGGAGCGTATTACTCCACCAATAGGAAAAAATCAACGAAAGATAGAGCGAGATGCACCCAGGTCGAGAGGAACGGAGAAAAAACGCGTGCGCCACGCACAACGCGAACGCGTACGGAATAAGTAGTTGCGAACGCGTGCATCACGTTCCGAACGCATTCTTTATTCGTTCTGTACGCGTGCGAAATGCATAAGCACGCTAATGGCACACACATTCAGGCGTCTCTTTTTATTGGTAGTATAAATGATCATTCAAATTCATAAGCCTCATTCATAAATAATCCGATCCATTATTTATTTCGAATTGTTTCATGTTACAAAAAAAACGTGTTCACACATATAAGTACAGTCAAAAATGCTAATGAAAATCACTTAAAGGCATCACAAAAAAAATCAACAGCAATAAAAAACAACTAATATCTGAAGAAAAATATAATTTCACATAGATTTCACCCGGAAAATGTCGTTTTCAGTTACATGTTCGAGAGAATAAGAAGAGAAAAAAATGTGATACATAATAATATGTAGAGAAAAAAGAATTTCGATCGAGCCATGATTTCCTAATAACAATAACAAAATTAAACTTTTTAAAAATCTCACTTTGTTCTTTGAGTCATTATGTGTTGCTTGTGTTAATTTTTGTTTTGATTATCATCATTTCTATCTGAAGCTGTGGTATTTAACTGCATCTGTGGCTGCTTTTCCAAATTGTTCCTTTGATAAAAATAAAATATTATATTATGTGAAAATAGATACGCCAACTATTTACTTTTTTTCTCGATGAGCACGACCTCGTTTTTGATTGCCACGAGTGATCTTTCCATCACAGTCCCAAAAAGTTTTAAAATTTTCATCGTCATCACTAAAGAAATATTTCTTTACAGCTTCTAAAACACCAAAATAATTACAACCTATTAACACTAACACTATCTAATGAAGTCGGTTACCTTTTATTTTTTCTGTTCTTTCATTAACTTGGTCGTGGTGGCCAAGTATAATTTCGTCTTTTGTAAATAAAGCATTGACGAGTTGTTTCATTAAACCACCTGGAGTAGGCTCGATGGCACCAGCTAATAAATTTTGTCCGCCATACATCTAAAATACACTAATTACACACAACATGATTGTAAAAAATCACATACCACTTTTGGTACTTCTCTTGGTACTTCAAACCGAGTTGAAGGCTAGAATAATAAAACAAAAAACAGTCAACTGACATGAATTAAGTCAGCACACTATCGTGCACCTAGAACATTAAAAGATAATCAGTTAAAAGTTAAGGATATTATTTTTTTTACCAATTTAAAATATATATAAATTAAATTGGAAGTAAATAAAAAAAAAAGCTGCTAATGAAGGTTAGACTGGATCGGAGTTTGAAAAAGAATTTAAAGATTAATGTAGTGATCATATCAAAAATATTCTACTCAAAGTAAATAAATATATAACTGACCTTGTATATTTGTCGAGCTAGTCCAGTAATTCTTTTATCTACATTTCCAAGCTGTTTTCCAACTTCTGTTTCTTGCTGCGCCATCAGATCCACTTTTCGACCGACATCGGATACCGCCATCTTTATTTCTTCTAATTGTTTACCAAATAAGTTCCATGGATCAAATGACAAACGATCGGATGCTTTAGAACCACGTTTTTTCTTCAGTTGTGGCGTATAATATTCATCTATTTATGCATAAAAATTGAATCAAGAACAAAACTGAAGACTTTTCAAACCAGAAGTTCGGCTGCGATTCGATTTAGAATTATGCGAAGGACGTTGTTGACTATGATAAAATGGTACATCTCGAATAACTGGATAATCTAAAGTAGAAGCCACATGAAAAATATCTTTATTTATTGAGATGTGAGACTTACCATTATCAAGATCGTTCTCACCTTCCACTTCAGAATTGGAGTCGTCATCGAATGTCGGATGAGTCTTTGCACCAGTATACGATGATCTTTTTGTACCAGCAGGTGTTTGAGAACCAGAATAATGTGCCATGAGATATTTAAACAATAAAAATACTAGTGAGAGACGATCACCAATAGAGAAAACTATGGAGACTTTCAAAACTTGTATTATAACCACAATCTGAAAAGATTCATTTATATAATTCAAGAATAAACATGAATTTATATCCTATTAATCATGTTCTAGTTCCAGTTCAACTGGTGTACAAGCAGAATATTTGTCATCCAAACGAAAAATGATACATTTTGATATTATAGATGAACAAGGATATATGATCAAACGGGACTTAGCATGACAAATAAGAGAATAATATTCATTGAGGTAAAATTCCCATTTGGGATTTTCTTGTGATGGTCTTATTAAAGAAGAGAATTGATTTTTCGACTCGAAGAATTGTTTGACAAAGTAAAATGGCCGATTATCAACATAGAAATAAAAAAGAATTTGTCCAAAACAGTTAACACGTTCTCCACGTGAATTCCTAGCATCAATTAAAACACTAAAACTGTTGCAATTATTTCTTCTACTATAAGATGTTGAATGATATACAATTAAGCCGTGTACGTATCGAGAATAAAATTTCATTGATGGCGATGGTAACTCACCAAAAGTTTGATTATAAACAAGATGAAATTCTTGACGATAATTTTCTAAAACACCATAAACAAAAAATGAATCAAGAATAAGCTCAGCCTTCGTAAACAACGTTGGGCGATTTATCATCTTTCTTGAATTCATTTGTCGATGAATGCACCACCAATATGAAATTTGCTGTCCTAAAGAGATTGAACCATGAGATAGCTTTTCAATATGGTGTAGACAACTTTCAGTTGAAAAAAGACTAAAAATAGAGCAAAATATATTTTAAAGTTTAGACTCGAAGGAAGTAAGTTAATTCTTTATACAGCAGATAACTTACCTATGATGTCCCAATCCACCGTGTAGTTCTACTTGTTCGTGTAGGTGGTACAATGCATGTGTCGAGTATAGTTCAGTACATTGATCGTACAACGATGAAAATAATTTCAGATACTCTTCGATGAAGGCGGGCATTTCGCGAATCTCATTACGATTAGAAAAATGTCGAAGCTTACGTATATATATGACGTATAATGAATAATGATACAAATATATTTCTGGAAAAGATTTAGGCATCGACAATCGTAATTGAACTAATGAGGGTAGAGAAACGTATATAAGAAATGTACGCAGTTCTGACGCCTTCCATTTCCCATAAGTAAGAATATTTTTTGGAGTTCGATTGAAAGAATGAGGATAACTGATACTATTTAAAAAACCATCGATAAAAGCTATAGCACCTGGATAACCTTTAATGATTTGGCACCACTTAGACATTATTGTTCTAAATGAATAATAGAGTTCATATTATTCTTTGGTTTGTGTTTTCACATTATTCAATTCTTTATTTCTTCAAGAGAGTAGAATCAGATATAAAAGATGTTTTCTGTTTTATTCTAGATGAGAAAGTATCCCTACAAAAACTAATCCTGACTTCATGACACCGAATACTTCTCATACTCCTTCGTTTTGAATCGTGTCAGTTCAGTTTTAGTAAGTCTAATCTATATGTTTTAGTGATTATCAATAGAAAAGAAAACCATCAATTTCTTGTTAAAACTATCTACAATAAAAGTATCATCATATATCACATATAATATCTATTCGAATCACATGGACTCCAGACAAATTGTCCTTATATTTAATACTCTACTAGCTGAAAAATTTCGCCACTGTAAAAAAATGAAGTATTTACCTTAAGTGAACTTCTAAGGCAAGATGAAAGTAATCCAGAGTAGACTGTAATGGTATAGAAAGAATTGATGATATTGGAGAAGAACCAAGAACACCATAAGATGTTCGACTGTCACCCGAAACTAGTAGAACACATTGATTAATATGTTCTTGAGTTCTTGATAAATGTCGACACGGCAGGTAGTCCAACCAACGATATAGAGTGTGTTGTTTGCAAGGAGAAGCACATCGACGACCCTCGATCAGACAACGAGAACAAGCATAGAATCCATTGTAGCTGTTCAGTTTGTTGCATTTCGCACGAGCAGGCAAATCGCCAGTCATTAGTTGGACGCGAACATCGAAGTGCTCAAACTCTGGCGAAAAAGAATGAAAAGATAACCACGTAGAAAGTTTACATCATATTGAACATAAAAAATTATTAAAACCTAATTGAAACCAAAACACTGATCACTAGTTCATAGCTAAATATGAATAGTAAAAACCTATAATTTTTTAACTTTCGAATTTGTTTCGAGTTTCCCCGATAATCCATTGTCTAATCAAGAAGAAAAATGTTGGCATAAGAATTTAACATCTTGATCAACTATCAAACATAGTTAATGTAGATTAAAAAAAAGGTACTAAATAGCTGATTTCTTTTGTAATACTTTCCAACTCGACTTATGTACCAAAGTGTTTCATTGAATATGAGATAGGTAATGTCGAAGGCACTCATTTTTTTAAATGGTAATGAGGCAGTGCTACTATCAGATTTGCTATAAATTCCTTAGCATATATATATATTTCATAGATAGTCATTTGATGAAATCTAGAGACAAGAGTATAAAGATTTCCGACAGAGGCTGTTCGAAATAAGAATACTCTTAGCTTAAAGCGTCCTAATTTATACTCATGACAGTGAAAATCTTTACATAAAACATTTCCAGCTAGTTCAAGAATGAGTCTTCTACTGACAATTTTTTTTATTTCTTAATCTTACTTTTTCCAACAAGAATGTCAATACCAGTCATGGTCAATGATTTAATCAAATACACAATTTTTGATAATAATAAGTCAGTTGGTGGAGTAACTGGCGAATGCCATAATCCCAGTAACATCATATTGTCCAAGCGTTCACGTATAAAAGGTGGTATTTCAACCAATGTGCTCATTACCTAAAAAAAATTATTATTGCATGATTCTACTTCTCAGGCACTTACAGGCCACACGCTGGTACGTGTTGCTTTTGATCTGATCATCGGTTTGCCATCTGTGGTAATCATTAGAGTCAATGTCGAATTATTTGAACATTGTTCTTTATAAATATCTCCTGAAAGAAAAGAAACTTACAAAATATAGCGTAAGCAGAAGAGTGGTTAATCTACCAAATACTATATCTGATATCATTTGATTCTCTCGAAAAGAATACCATTTAATTAATTCAATATTTGGTTGGACGACTCGTCGTAATTCATCGGCAATCGAAAAAATAATTAATTCAGAATTTGCCTTTTTTTTAGGATTTCCGCAGTTAATACAACGATCTTGAATTTTACTTAATAATGTGAAGCATGTGGAACAATAAACAAAAATATCATAATAAAATTTTATATCTAATTTTTTTACTAATTGATTTATAGAGGCAGGAATTTCATCATAGAATTTGCTTGAATTTAGCAAAGACAACAACGAAGATGTTGTTGTTTTGTTTAGGTTAGCATCACGAATAAATTCAATCAGTTGTTGAAGAAAATTTTGACGTTCAATTTCAATTTGATCATGTGATGCTTCATTTTCATCAGAAGAATAATCTGATTGCGAATCACTTGATAATGTATCATTTTCACTCGATAGATCATTCATTTCAGGATCAATATTACCTAGAAAAGACATTCATTATTAATATTAGATACGTGTCCTGCAATTAATGTCATTGTCAACAAAATTCTAAACAAGATTTAAAGAACCATGTTACAGATTTTAAAAAGTTTTTCGTGTATATCAATCTTCCGATTTTATGTTCATCTTAATAAAAAAAAATCATACCATTTAACGAGATTTCGGCTTGTGAGTTTCGATCATTTTCAGAACGAATCAGTTCTTGATTATCTAATGAATTTTGTTCAAGTCCAGTTACAGTAGCTTGCACTTGAGAAACTATAGAAAAAAATTCAAGACCATGTAATATTAAAAAATAAGCTCACTTTTTTCTTTAGAATTATCTACCACAAAATGAATTGAATATCGAGCAGCAGCAATTTTTTGTTGATATCTTTTGTTTTGCTGCCTTTTTAGTGAACGATCTAAAAAGCACTCAAAGAGTAGTTATCATTTGTCAAATTAAAACGAAAATATTACAATAAGCCGAGAATCTATTTAGTGATTGTTGCGATTTTTTTTCATTATTTGAAGATTTTTTCATTATAAAGTTGATAATTCGAAATCTAGAATTAAAAAAAAATAAAATATACATGTTCATCTTCAAATCGCCAAAATTCATTTCATAAATTATGTGCGTCATTTTGCGTATTGCGATGACTCCATAAAGGATGCACTATAGTCGACCTCTACGCTGGTGCGACGCTGACGCCACCAACGCGTTCTGAACGAAAAAATCATATCGAACACGTTTCGACCGCGTTGCGCACGCATTTTTGTATGTTCTGTCGTTTCGAACGCGTTTTCTTTCCGTTCTTCTCGACCTGGGCATATACACATCGTATGTTTTAGATAAAACATATTTTGACTTAGATATTGCTACTTTTTAATTTTGAGATATTCGATATAATTTTTTTTTATTATTTT